GCATTCTTGAATCTGAATAAGTGCATAATATGCATGTCAATATGTTGTCTTGTTACTGGTCATAGTGTGAATATGACTCAACATGTGTAGTTAAGTAGGTATTTATTTATAGTTTTCAAGTTGCCTTATGTTCTGCCATTTTCTTGAAATTGCGTGATTTTCTTTAAATTGTGTTAGACCACATATTGTGCTGTCCTTCAGAAATATGAAGTCTAAATAGATCCATATGGATTGTTAGTCAGGGGCAACTTGGGTGGTGATTTTTGATAATAAAGAAGCCATGTGGTAGATTGATGTGCCTGCTACATGGGTTCCACTTATGGGCATATTGATTAGGTGAGTGTGAAAGTAGGTCTGTGTAAGTACTACAATATATACATGACACACATATGCTGGTATCCTGACATAAGAAGCTTGAAATAATGAGTGACTTTGTTGGTTCGAGCAATAATTTCAAGGCACAATTTGAGGCAGTACTACACGGAGTTCTTATTTCCTCAAACATGAATTGCTCTTGATGCAGACACACAGCCCTGCTTTACAGCTGTGTTCTGTGTAAGGTCATTATTGATCTTCACAGTCGTTTAAGCTTGTACTAGTGGTGCATTTCTGGCTAATCCCATTTATATTTCTTGTATATAAGTTGTTAATCGTCTTGGTTCGGGTGATGCAGATAAATGACCGCTATGAGTTTCCACTTCAACTTGATCTGGACAGAGATAATGGCAAATACTTGTCACCAGAAGCTGATAGACGAGTACGCAACTTGTATACACTTCACAGGTCAGAAGATGGAGATGGTTTTGACTTAGTTATTGTTATATGGATTTTAGTCACAAATATATCACAAATCTGGTTGTTGCATATTACTTCGATAGTTCGAGTCCTGGGTTCATGAACCTATCAACCACAAGTTCGTTTTGGATCTTATTTAGACCATGATTTTGTAAGAAATCACAACCTACTCATTTTTATGGAATATATTTTCCAAGGCTCTAGTTTATATTTTTGAGTTTCACTTTCTCCAAATTTATGTTAAGTTTTCACTTTCTCCAAATTTATGATATGTCAAAGGAACTTTTGGAAGTACGTGCTTTTGCTCAAAGTTTACAAGTCAATAAGATCCAAATTTAAGGCTTTACAATGTGGCTCAACACTTTTATTTCCATTAATAAATTATTTTGATTCTTAAATTCTGATTCTGTATGAGGTACGTCACTGTCGCTAATAGCTAAAGCTAATGACATTGGTTTTGTACTAACCTTGAGTCCTTGGAATCAACTATTGCATCCTAATACATATATTTGAACCTTTATTGCATTTGGGATTTCCTTGGAAAAATTATTACTTATTTGCCAAGTGTAGAAACTTGATTGTTCCACTTTTATTTCTTCCCCTCCCCCCTTCCCACACGATGCTGACCAGTTTGTTTGTTTGCTTGTAGTGTTTTGGTCCACAGTGGTGGTGTGCATGGTGGACATTATTATGCCTTTATAAGGCCCACTCTTTCCAGCCAATGGTATGTACAACAAAACTTGTTAATAATGTCTACGAGTTAAAATGAAAATCAATTCACCTAAACCCTTTTCATATTGGCCATCAGCAATTCAACAAATCTAACAGCTGTGATGTATTTTGTAATGGGTTTATAGCTGTTTGGATGGGATAATGTGTCCAAATTTCTTATCATATCTATGAGCATATTAAACTATAGGAGGCTATCATTAGTTTGTCATGCATTTAATCATTGTGCCATAATTTCACAGTCAACTCTCTCATAGATAAACATCTTACTGAAGTTCTCAGAGTGCACTGTCTGAATCATTTAGTAAAAGCTCGAACGCTTTAGAGGACGAATACATATCAGTGTTCTTGTAGCAAGTTGCCTAATGTAAATTATTTTGATTGGAATTCAGGTATAAATTTGATGATGAACGAGTGACCAAAGAGGACATGAAAAAGTCTTTGGAAGAGCTATACGGTGGTGAGGAAGAAGTAGGTTTTCACTTCTGCTCTCTCTCTCTCTCTCTCTCTGCGTCCGTCTCCCTGTCATATCTATTCTTCTCGTTTGATGCTAATTTTTGAATTGTGGAATGTTGCTAACTTACGTCTTCATTTATGTCTTCTCAGCACATGATACAGACGAACCAGGGAATCAATGCTACTCCCTTCAAGTTCACAAAGCATTCAAATGCTTATATGCTGGTGTATATACGTGATAGTGACAAGGACAAAATAATGTGTCGTGTTGATGAGAAGGACATTGCGGAGCATCTTAGGGTTAGATGCTCATATCAGCAGCTACTTTTGAATATCTTGGGAAATTATTCCTTTTCCCCCAATATCTTGGTCGTAATAAATTGCACGATGCCATTTGTAGGAACGGCTGAAGAAAGAGCAAGAGGACAAGGAACAAAAGAGAAAAGAAAAGGCTGAAGCTCATCTTTACACAGTTGTAAAGGTGGTTTATTTTATTGTTTCTTCTTCTCATCTTTCGAAGTGGGTGCATTATGTAAGAGAATTTGTTGTGTTGTCAGGTTTCATGTGATGAAGATTTTTCTTGGCAAATTGGAAGAAATGTCTTTTTTGATTTAGTGGATCATGATAAAGTGCGGAGCTTTCGTGTCCAGAAGGCTATGCCATTTAACATTTTTAAGGTATATGACCTCTATAAACACAATGATCTGATTTTACTTGAATTACTAATTGGTTGTAATATTGCTAGCCTTTCTATCCCTTTTTAGGGAGACAAGCTAGTATACAATCCTCGTGTCTTTGCAAATAATCATGTTGAATAGGATTAGTATTTCAGTGATCTGCAATTAGAAATTTCACATGAAGTTACTAGTTTATTGAATATTGAAGCTGGTTTGAGCTTACTCTCTTAGCATGGATGTCTGAAGGTTTGTTGAGGAGAGCACGCTTTCCAGAAACAAGTAAAGTTTCCGCTTGATGGGGTAGTAGTATACTCGAAAACATTTTGCAAAGCTTTGCAAATTAGCGCAATATGTGTCCTTGTCAAATCAAGTTGGTTGGTTAACTGGGCTAGTTTAAGTTTATTGTTGTTATAACCATTACAATATGGGCGTGTGTGCTAAGGTGATGCCACTCGTAAGTAGAATTTATGCTAGCCAGGGTAAGCCTTGATTAAGCAGATATTTTTAGTAGTAATACCAATCAAAAGGTGGTGATCCTGCTGCAACTAGGGCAAAGTTGTAAACCAGTGCAAATGAGAAAATAACCAAATCCTGATGTCCATAACCTGAAACATTTTGTTGAAAAAGTTATTTTAATAGGAGTTTTGGGATATAAATTCCTAATTTTAGATGCATAAAGTCAGCTAAAATTACAGCCCTATCAAGTAAAACTTGTTTACATTCGTTCTTGAAATATTATTTTACCGTCATGTATAAACATACTGATATCTCCTGTCACTAAAAGAATTTGATATGCTTGTTTTAACGTCAATGGTAAAAACCTTCTAATGCTGAGGAGGCCTACATGTTTTGTTGAGTAATAAACAAAAAGAAAGGAAGGGAAGAAGAGTATGGGTATGCCTTCAGTGTTGCTTGTTTTTATATACTTCATTTTTCATCAGATCTTCTTTTGGTTATGTTATTGTTTTGTTTTTTACTTGATATGTGTGTGTTTAATACTATGTTACTCTGGCGGACTACAATCCTTCGTCATCTGGAATCGTAACTCACTGCCATGACACATGCTAGATTTCGTTGGATTTGCACAGTGAAGTTGCAATTGCTGTTTTGTCACTGTTACAATAATATCAGCTAACCATAAAGTAACCCCAGGAAGAGGTCGCAAAAGAGTTTGGTATACCAGTGAAGTTCCAGCGGTTTTGGCTGTGGGCAAAGCGCCAAAACCACACATGTCGTCCTAACCGGCCATTGTCTCCACTTGAGGAAGCACAAACTGTAAGCATGATCGTCCTCTAATAAATTGATCAGTTGCTGACTAATATGTAGATTTTTAGTCCTCTACGTCAGTACTTTGTTCTATATTACTCTTGAATATAGTGCTATGGTACTATTCCCAATTCTGGTTTCCTTCCTTCTCCCTCCCTTGTGGTTGGCAATATCATTTCTGATCAATTGAACTGGCTTCAACTGAAATGTGAAGAAGAATTTGCGCTAGATAAGTTGTTTTCCGCTTTTATTTGATAGTTGATGTGGTTTTCTTTGAATTGTCAATCGTGAAGTGCATGTTGTACTGCCACCCAGTCAGTGAGAGTTAGTTTGTCCGACCTGGTTACTTTATAGCTTGAAGCCTTGATTGGGCTGTACCTTACTTTTGGAGATTTTTGCATCTCAATTGACCTTTTTATATGCACTTGGATGTATATGGCTAATGTTTGCCCTTGTGCTTATTGATCGGGCCTAAGTTTCACTGAGTTTCTTGTCATAGTGCTTGCACATACATACACTGAATTGCACATTTGTCAAGAGCAGTTCATTTCTGTACATGTTGCCAGCCACAAATAGACCACAAGTACAATTATGTACAAACAACAACAACAACAACAACAACATAGCCTTTAGTCCCAAGCAAGTCAGGGTAGGCTAGAGATGAAACCCAAGGGAAACACAAAAAAGACTCGAACCAAAAGGAAGAGATCGAAAGAAAGAAAAAAATAATAATAATAATAATAAAAATAAAAAAATAGAATAAAATAAAATAAAATAAAATAAACGGAAGAGAGAGAGAGAGAGAGAGAGAGAGAGAGAGAGAGAGAGAGAGAGAGGAGCAAAAGTCACGGTTCTGGCACGTTGATAGCGAGCCTCCAAGCGCTCCTATCCACCGCTAAATCCTTGGATATATTCCAATCTTTAAGGTCTCTCTTAACCGACTCTTCCCAAGTGAGTTTAGGCCGACCTCTACCTCTCTTAACATCCTCGACCCGCTGTAGAACTCCCCTACGCACCGGTACAAACTAACTGAAAATTTATTATGCCATTTAGAGTTTATAAGCTGTATTTAAATGGTTTCTAAGGAGTAAACTGCAGTGGCATAATTAGGTCTTGATATGAACATATTTAAACTATTTAAACTGCATGGTACAATGCTTGATGTGTCCTTTCCGCTGTATAAGAATCAGATGCTTTTTTTCTTCATCCCTTGATTTAGTAATTTGCATATTGAGGATTCAAATTCATCAGCAGCTCATGGAAAAAGGTAAATGATTTTAGGGGGCGATTGGCTACAGAAATTATCCGGTTTGATTGACCGGATAATTTTTACACTCTTTATTCTTTAAGTCAAAACTCAACTCAACTTTGTCCAACTTAACGCTCCTCAATATTATCAATATATTAAATAATACCAATTAATCATCCTCACACATCACATCAATTTTAATCAACTATTCAACCACTCACATATTTTTAACTACTCATCACTACCAATCACCTCTACCTACTTTTACATACATCAACTTTAATCATTACATTTTTAATATTATTTAAATGCAAACTCAAAATCTCACTCAATTCTTAACTCAATCACCTTTATTCAAAATAACTCATTTTATTCAATAAAGCCAATCAAAACCACAATATTTTATATCCAATCACCTCCTTAGTGTTCTCACCATCATTTCTAATGTTGATTGGTTGCAGGTTGGGCATTTGACGGATGCATCTAATAAAGTTCTGAATGCAGAGCTGAGGTTATACTTAGAATTGGAGATTGGACCGGTACTTTATTGATCTTTTTTACAAGCATCAAAAGTGCCAACAAGGAACCTTCTCTTTTCAAAAGATTACTCGAATTTCTATATGTTTTCGTAATAGGATTTGCGGCCCAATTATCTTCCTAAGAAGGGTAAAGATGACATTTTGTTATTCTTCAAGCTTTATGATCCAGAAAAAGAAGAAATTAGGTATTCTTCTTGGTCTTGTTCCTTTTCTTTATCTAGATTTTTGCATGGATTTTAAGATCTCCAAGTATCCCCAGAAGACTAAAATGTGATCAATATCTTTTACAGTTTGTTTATCTTCATCTCATGTCAGATATGCTGGAAAACATCATGTTAATAGCATGAGCAAGCCAACAGATATCTTGACTAAACTAAATGAGATGGCAGGCTATGCTCCTGATGAAGACATAGATCTTTATGAGGTTTGTCCCAATATGTCATGCCTAGTCGAGTGGCACTCTCTGGTGTCTCATCATAAATCCCTGACACTCTTCCTTACACCTTGATGTTTTCTTCCATTTAACTAGCACTGGTGAAGTTGTCTATTACTGATATCTGTTTTTTGCCCATCAGAGATAATTGTTCCGTTCCTTTGTAGTTTATATTGCGATGTCTTTGATCACGCATAATTGTATTTAGTTATTTATCCACCTCTTCTCCTTTCCTGCAAGGTGGAGACTAGGTTGGGTGGGTGCGGAATACATCATTTGTTGGTTTTATTGACAGTTCTTCTATGCTCTATCTTTCTGGCTGCATGTCAAGTCTTTTCTGGAAGTTATCATCTGCTTCTCAGATCACATTATGCAGTCTGTTAAATGTCCATTGAATACAGTGGAACTCATATTTAATGTTATTGCTCAAAACTCCAACAATTAATTCTTTTACTTAATATACTTAATAAGATAAAGGTGTCTTGTGTCTCTGGTCTTCAGGAAATAAAGTTCGAGCCCCATGTCATGTGTGAACTGATTGACAAGAGACATACATTTAGATCTAGCCAGGTTTGTTTCATAACAATGACTAATAAGCTATGCGATGCGGACATTTTTGTCTCAACTTTCCTTTGCTTTCTACCTGTAGCTTGAGGATGGCGACATAGTCTGCTTTCAGAAGTCTCTTTCAGCCCAAGCTCGTCAACAACTTCGTTGTCCAGATGTTCCAACATTCTTTGAGCACCGTTATAATCTCCAAGTAAGTTGCATTAGAAATTAAAGTAACATTATTTATATCTAATTACATGTGTTTTTGGGCAAGTATATGACAATATTTTTATACACAATTGTTTCCTATTTGCATGTTTAAATGTTTTGGAATATCACTTGTGAGTTGGTCCACATGGATTCTATAGGGCAAATGGGCCTACTGAGCTACTCCTCCCATCACCAATTGGTTTTGGGATGGAACCTCACTAAGGTAGCAATTTGGCTCGCCCTCTAATGGTGCGCTTCACCCATGTGGAACTGCACAACCCTTCCCCCGACTATATAAATCCAATATGGTATTAGAGTGGACTTAATCTAGGACTTGCGATGATTTGATCTACCTGGCTTGCTCTGGGTCTATGAAGGACTCACAGGTGACGGGGGTGTCGTAATATTAATATTGAGTTGTCCTACATTGATTCTATTGGAAAAATGGGCCTAGTTCATAAGCCTAGTGTGCTACTCCTCCCGTCACCAGTTATATTATTGGATGGCACCTCGCTAAGGTGGCAACTAGGCCCTCTTATAGTGCGCTTCACCCTTGTGGAACTGCGCCCCTTGCCCTGACTATATAAATCTAATAGAATGATAAAATTATCTGTTGGATTAAATACTTAAAGTGAATGGTTTCATAGTGAAGCGGGAAGTAAGTGCCCTTCCTAAGTGGATGGTTACTTTAAAATGCCCTTGAGCTCTTTATAGGGACATAATACTACACTGGAAATTCATACTAGTTCTATTTTATCTTGTCATTTCCGTTGCTTAACAATGTTGAAACTGAACCATAATGCAGTTGTTTGTCCATCTGTTTCTGAATGTATTTTGTCTTCCTACATTGAATTTCTTGCAGGTTATTCATTTTCGATCACTGGAAAAGCCCAGGGAGCATGAATTTTCTTTACAACTGTAAGTGCAATTGGGCAAACATTATAGGAACCAAAAGTTACCATTTTTCATCTTTGTTGGTCATTGATTCAGCGTAGGAATTTCATTGTGGCATACTTTTGAATATGAAGGTCAAAGCTCGATACATATGATGAAGTTGTTGAAAGAATAGCTCACCATCTTGGAATAGATGATCCTTCTAAAATTCGACTCACTTCACATAATCCGTATTCACAGCAGCCAAAACCTCATCCCATAAAATATCGAGGGGTAGATAATTTGTTAGACATGTTGCTGCACTACAATCAGGTAACTCATTCTTCAATGAGTTAGAGTTTAAGCGTGGGTTTAATGTATTGACTAACATTATTATTTTCTTCAGACATCTGATATCTTATACTATGAAATATTGGATATGCCTCTGCCAGAATTGCAAGGTTTAAGAACACTGAGAGTAGCGTTCCGTAATTCATCAAATAATGAAGTAAGCGGACACTATAATAGTTGGACAGATAGTGAATAGTATGCTTTTGGCATACCCATTATTCTGCTATTACATGTTCTACTAAATTATTATTTCTAGGTGGAGATTCACAACATCAGAGTTCCAAAAGAAGGCACTGTCAATGATGTACTTGATGATCTCAAGTTGAAGGTAATTGCTGGAACTGGAAAAAATGATGTTCATAATGTTGGTATATTTGGTTGTATCAGCAATTGAATAATGATTTATTCTTTGGTTTGATTTCTTTATCCTTTGGGTACAACAGATTTATTTATTTATTTATTTTTTTTCTCCGCATGCCGTTGCACAGCTTCCTTAATTAAGTTGCACAATGTTGCACAGGTTGAGCTGTCTCATCCAGAGGCTGAACTTAGGTTACTGGAAGTATTCAGCCACAGAATTTACAAGGTCTTGGACTTCTTATTCCTTCTTACTAACTTATTTATTTATTTTACTATGTGTATATATATAATATATCAGTTTCCCAAAAGTAGTTATGTGGTCTTGGGAAGTTAAATTAGTGTGGTCAGTTATGTTATACCATGGACACTGTTGAGGAAGTACCTGTTTAGTGGAGGCCGTAGGGTTATTTTGCTTGGGTTTGTATACTATTTCAGTGAGTCCTGTCTTTTGCTGAAGGCACGAGAGATCTATTTTGTAATAGCATTGGCTATTGGGCAAGTTATTTTTGCTGGACAGAGATCCTGCTGAAGAAGTTTCATACTCGTTCATCTCCATAATTATGTATTGTCAATAAAATTATCTATTTTCTCTTTTCTGATTCTTTACTCCTAAAATACCAAAGTACAACAAACTAATGAGACATGCTTGAGATGCATTTAATATAAAAATGAATTTGTAACTATTGTTCAGTCAGTAAACAATACAATATAAAATTGACCAGGACATTTGATGTATTATGACATAGTTTGCTTGTGAGTTGTGGTGCATTGACTAATCAGTACTTGGCTCATCGCCTTGTTAAAATGGGAAAACTAGCCATGAATCCTAAATAAACTGAATTGTTGGCTTCCATTCGAGATATGGATTAAGATTAAAAGGATAGTTCGTGGTTTTTGACTTTTTGGATAAACCATACTAACTTGATTGTAAATGAATTATGTTCATTTTTAGGAACTCATTTTCAGCATGTCCATAATGTGGCTGTAACTAGAAATAGCAGATTATATCGTGAGCAAGTTCCCACGAACATCCCGTTTTTCCAGCGACTAGAGCATGTCTGTGTCCATTTTGATGTGACCATGGGCCACGGACCTCTGAAGACTAGTATTGGACTCACTCTTTTTCTCATTATGAACCATGGTCATTTTTATCAATTGCACTTGGTTTCCGATTCTATGAGCATTATTCTTGTAGGGGTCAAAGGAATTTAGAGCCCATTAATTTGTTTTGTTCCCTGATAATGCTGCAAGCATAGCATTCTTGTACTATTTTGTTGGGACGTGCTTGTGTTCCATCGAATTTTCCAGTTGCCTTTAAACTAGATATTCTTGCAGATATTTCCATCCAATGAAAAGATAGAAACAATAAATGACAACTACTGGACTTTACGGGCGGAAGAGGTTCTCTCTCTCTCTCTCTCCCTCTCTCTCTCTCTCTCTCTCTCTCTCTCTGCATGTGTGCATGTGCCCGTAGCACTCAGGTCATTCATGTGCTGTTTCAGAGAACTAAATGCTATTGCAGTTCTTACTGGTCTTGATCAAATCATTGTTTTAATCACTGTTGATTTTTTTTCAGTTTTACTCATCGTCATTTGCATGCTTAGCAACATAAAACTTGCATTTAGGTGCAACTGTATCTAAAGATGTGATTTTAATTTCGTTTTTTTAGTGGCATCACTTGATAGGGCAGGGCTCTGTCCCCCCTCTTTCATGTTGCCTTCTGTAAGCAACTAAGCATTGTTTGTCTTCACAATCGACTTTATGCTTATATATTTCTGCAGATACCCGAGGAAGAACGAAATCTCAGTGAACATGATTGCTTGATTCATGTATATCACTTCATGAATGAAGAAAATCAGAACCAAATGGTACGGTAATTACATGTCCATTTGTTTGAAGTGCTGTAGTTGATACAACAATTCACAAAAAACACTTTTACGTGATATCTCCATCCCCTTGATAATTCACTTTTTTTTCCCAGAAAATTCAAAACTTCGGTGAGCCATTTTTATTGGTTATTCATGATGATGAGACTTTAGCTCGTGTGAAGGCACGTGTACAGAAAAAGTTAAATGTGCCAGATGAAGAATTCTCCATGGTTTTGTGCCTTTTGCCCTATTCTGTCATGTGCTTAAAGTTATTAATGAATAGTACCGCCTTTGAGTTATTAGCAATTGTCATGTCCTTAATTTTTCTCGTTGATACATGATGTAGCTTGCTAGATGCCATGCAACAGATTTTACTTTCTGCTTATGCGTTCATCTTTTTGTCCAGTGGAAATTTGCTTTTGTTTCACAAGGCCGAGCTGAGTATCTTGAGGATTCAGACATTTTGTTGAGTCGTTTCCAGGTCGCTCTCTCTCTCTCTCTCTCTCTCTCTCTCTCTCAGTAAAAGAATCCATTGTTCTTTTTGTGTGTGTGTGCCTCACCAATGGCATAGTGAACTGACTTTTTATGATGATGTCCATATGACACTAATTAAATTCTAGTGCTTCTTCAATTTAGTGAAGTTTCTAGAAAAAAAAAAAATATATATCAAACGGCGCAATGCACCTTGGGTCGCTACAGAAACAGCCTCCTTGTATAATTACAAGGGTAAGGTCTGCGTACAACTGGCCCCCCAGACCCCAACCTGTTGGGAATATACTGGGTATGTTGTTGTTGTCCATATGACACTAATGAATCTTGGTGCCTACAGAGGAGTGGCATTTATGTTGCTTGGGAGCAATATCTTGGACTTGAACACGTAGATAATGCTCCTAAAAGGCCTCTTGCTGCTAACCAGGTACTCTATTCCCATACTTATTCAGTTCTAATTCTACTCTTCTAAAGATGTTATGTGTAAGCATTTCTATTTTCTATAGGAATTTGTTCCCATGAAACTTTTACATCTTGGTCAGCAATTACTGATTAAACAGTACTAATATAATATGCATCCTTGTTGAAGAAAATGGATATAGTTAGAGGCTTGGAACTCTACTGGGCAATCAAGAAAACTTTTTGAGTGTTCATGAACATCAAAATCACAAGTGAAATGAAACGAGAACAGTTTATATCTGTGTGTCTCAGAATAGTAGTCAGGTTGTCTGTTTGGCGTTCTTATTTATTAGTAATCAAACACACACACGCTAGCTGTTTCTAATATTGTTGTGCTGTCAGCATCAATTGTAAATTAAAAAAATGAGATGCATGACGTGTCCAAGATTTCCAGCTTTATTCGAGCATGTGTACCAATAATATCCATTAGCAAATTTATCACGAATTCTTAATGCATTGATTTGTGGTTTGGATTTATTTTAAAAATGTGGACAATCCTCAATTTTAGCACGTGCAAACATAAAATTGTTGTTTCTTTGTATTATTTTTTATATTTCTGTCGTAGAGCAATGTTTGCTGCATTAACATCTACAAGCTATCTTTTTTTCTTTTCAGTATCGTCAGCCATATGAGAAGGCTGTGAAGATATACAACTAAAAGGGCAGTTGGTTGAATTAAATCTTTCGCAAATTATCTGAGGCAGCATTCTCTCTTTTCCGAGAAATGAACCTGGAGAACACCCTACTTTTGCAGTAAACGAGTTCCTTTTAAAGGAGACACAATAAGATCTTAGGTTCTGCAGGCTCTCCTTGTTTGATAAATATACAAAGAGCTTCCCTAGCTGTGATATGTAAAGTGAACCTTGTTTATCGAGGATCTAATTTCCATTTGCTTTCGTGGCACATGGTCTCATTTAGATATTCTCCTTTTTTTGAGGCATGTGCTATCTCTTGAAGGCGTGGGAGTAAAAATTCATGTTCGTTTACATGTTTGTAGAAGGAAATTTTGGCTTTGTTAAATAATTCTGCAGGAAGATTTGATGGGAGTTTGTATAGGGATTTTCGTGAGTTGTCGAAGAAAAAGTTGGACTGTCATGTATAGAACTTTAAAAGAATGACATGCATGTGTTGCATGTCATACTTGTCTTTTGACAATCCTTTAGTTATGAGAGTTCTATTTTGGCAATTTTGAGTTATGGGATTCGAGTATTGGTTGCAAAAAATATTTGTCCCTCTTTAACCCTGTTTTTCTAAGAATACTAATAATTTGCGAACTCTCCAACAAAAATAATCTTGAATCGAAAAATATACCATCAATAGAGACGACGTGATACAAGGTTTTGGTTTTCTTTGGAGTCTAGTCACTTGTAGTTTTATTGGGATTTGGAGTTTAAAATGAAAGCTAAAAACACACACACACATATATGGTTGGGTTCAAGTGTTAATGGTGTTCAATGAAAAAAATAATAATACATCTTGGTCATTAGATCGGTGATCTAATGGCTAAAAAAAATTAAAATTATACCTTCAGTAAGGGTAATGGAGTATTTTTCCACACCCAAGCAGTTGGACCCACGCAACCATACAATCACTAACACATGGAGCCCGCT